AAATAAATAATAAATTTCTAAGGTGAAGGAAATGGTAACTACCCTGATTTGATCATTACACATGGTATGTATGTATCCTTTTGATATTGCATCACAGTATTTAAGATATTGGGGGCTGGCCAGTCGTGGTGGGGCATGCCTTAATCTCAGCACTCAGGAGGCAGAGGCAAGCAGATGCCTGTGAGTTTGAAGCCAGTCAGATCCACAGAGTGAGTTCCAGGCCAGCTGGGGCTAAAGCGGTGGCTCAGCAGTTAAGAGCACTTATAGAGGACCCAGGTTTGGTTCTCAGCACCCACATGACAGTTAATTGCCCATAACTCCACTTTGAGGGGATCTGATGCCCTTCTCGCCTTTACAGGCATTGCAAGCACGTAGCACACTTACATACATGCAAGCAAAACACTCATACACATTAAAAATAAATTACAAAATAACTATATACATGGGGCAGTAGCTCAGTTGGTAGAGTGCTTGCATAGCATGCATGAAGCCTTGAGGTTTGACATTAACTGCATAAACCAGATATGGTGGTACACACCTATAATCCCAGCACTTCGGGAGGTAAAAGCAAGGAAGATAGTGAGTTCAAAGCCAGCCTTGGCTACACAGTGAGCTTGAGAGGCCAGCCAGGAATACACGAGACCCTGACCCCCCCCTCCCAAAAAAGAAAACCACCAAAAGATGTATATGTACTGTTCAATGCCAGTAAGGCCTGTTCACACCAACTTTTATTAACTTTTTTATTTTTGCAGTCCCTGGGGCCTTGCACATGCTGAACAAATACTCTACCACTCCCTATCCTTTTTACTTTAGATACTGCTTTTCTGGGTCGGAGAGAGGCTCAGCAGTTACAAGTACTGGTTGCTTACAGAGGGCCCTGGTTCAGTTCCCACCACCCACATGGTAGCTAACAACTATCAGTAACTCCAGTTCCAGGGGATCCAACAGCCTCTTGGAGCTCCATAGGCACTGCATGTATATGGTACACTTACATACATGTAGGCAAAACATGCATACGCATGAAATAAAGTAAAAAGAACTACAAAAACATGATGTGTGTTGTGTGATGTATTTGTACATGTATGTGGGTGATTGAATGGAGGTCAGAAGAGGATGGGCACTGGGTTTCTGTCTTCTTTCTTAGAAGCAGAGTCTCTCCTTAAAGCCAGGGCTTGCTTTTCAGTTAGGCTGGCAATGAAGAAGCCCTACTCTCTCAATGCTCTCACGGTGCTGTGCTTACAGATATGTGGGAGACTGAAGGTGCTAGATCCAAACTGGTCCTCATGGTTGCAAAGCCAGCACTCTGGAACATTGAGCCATCTCTCTAGCACCTCTTTTACATTTTATGTTCCTAGGGTTTCACTAAGTTGCCCAGGCTGACCTTGAATTCATTCTGTAGCCTAGGCAGGACTTGAACTTCTAATCCTTCTGCTTTAGCTGCCTGAGTATCTGGGATTACACCTGAACTACCCAACCCCGCTCACCAGGCATTTGTGTGCAAAATAAACACCTCATCTTCTCTGGTACAGTTTCTGGCAGCTGGTGCCAAAGAACTTTGTTTCTATGTGGCGCTGGGGAATGGAACCTCAAGAATTAGCACATGCTAGGCAAGTCCACTACTACTGTTGTGGTTAGTTTTTGCACTCTGTCACAAACTAGGATTACCTGGAAAGAAAGACCCTCAACTGAGGAATTTCTTCTACCAGACTGGCCATGGGCATGTATATGGAGCATTTTCTTGAGTGTTAATTGATGTAGGAGAGAGCCCAGCCCACTGTGGGTGGTGCCATCCTTAGGTGGATGGGCCTGGACTGTATAAGGAAGGTAGCTGAGCAAGCCAGGGAAAGCAAGCCTATACAAGCAGCATTCCTCCATGTGCTTCACTTCCTGCTTCCAGGTTCCTGCTTAAATTCCTGCCCTGACTCCCCAATGATAGATGGTAATTTATAATCTGAGCTAAACCCTCTCTTCCCCAAGTTGATTTTGGTCATGGTGTTTTATCACAGCAGCAAAAAGTAAACTCATACAATAACACAATCATATCCCTAGGTCATCTAAGAATTTTCAGTGATAAAGATACTAGTGTTATGAGGCATTAACTTGTAACAAAATATGATCCAGAATACATCTGAAAAACAATAGGGTAGAGAGCAATTGAAGAAAACAAAGATGTCAACTTCTGCCCTCCACAGGCAAATGTATACACACATACACAAAGAAAATGGTTAATCAAATTAAGAATAGACTTAACTTTTTTGAGACAGGTTCTTTTGTAGGCTCAAAAGTAGCTATGTAGCCAAGGATGACTTTGCCCTCCAGATCCTCCTCTTGCCCAGCCTCCAGAGGGCTATGATGTGATTACAGGTATGAACCACCATGCCTGGCTTTATACACTGCTGGGCACTGAACACAGGGCTCTGTGATTGCTAAGCAAGCACTTTACCAACTGAGATAAATCTCCAGACCTAGACTTAACATCTTTTTAAGGAGGTATTTCCAGATAGTTGTTTTCTGAATACTTTATTAACTTACATATTAGTAATTAATATGCCACTTACATAGTCATAAACTGAGGAAAGAAACCCATCAGGACAGTCTTTTTAAAATCTTTTACAACATACCCTTCCAATTATGATGTCTTCAAACAAACAGCTGTTAACCACCATCTGACTTAACCATGGCACATTCACCTCACACTTACGTCTCCAAATGGCTCTTGAGCAAGTCGTACACAAGCACATTATTACACTGCTTTGCAAAATATAGTGCACTATTTTGGTGCTTTGATAAAATGTTGCAGTCAGCTCCACATTCAATCACAAGACGTACAATGTCCGAATTTCCTCTTTTACATGCCTGGGTCAGGAAAGAGAAGTGGCAATTTCTTAATTGTTAACTACAACTGGTATGGGCAAAGCATGATAGAGCAAAGGTATGAAAACCTGAGGCTGTGTCTTAGGAGTCTAGCAGCAGGGCAGCACTGCAGAAGCATGCTAGATAGCTGTGAGGAGGAATTTGGTTCCCTCTGCTGCCTGACACTTCCAGAAAGCTCTCTAGACTCCCATCTACACTTCCGCACCATCTTTCCCAGTAGCATCCTTCTACCTTTGGCTTTCTTCACTTTTTTACCTTTCAATGAGTGTCTTCTGATAGCAAGATGCCCAGTTCCTGTTTGCATTTGCACTGCCAGAGCTTACTAACTCAAGAGAATCAGATATCACCTGTTGTCATATTCTATGAGTTCTACCTCTTAACCACAGCTTGACCTCATTACTATGGAGGTACAGATGATTATTTCAGGAACCTCCCTACAAGTCTGCAAATTGCTTTACTTTTCCTGAATCCATTCTCCTAACCAAACTACGTCACACTAAAACAAACCCACCCTTTAATCTGGTTCTATCTTTCCCTAGCTCCCAACTGCTCTCACTACTCCCAATTCTGTAACTTCCTGTAAAAAATGCAGTTGTTTGAGAAGCTTCCTCATGCAGCCAATGGTGATTAACACAGAGACCCACAACTGGTCAATATGTAGAGAATAAGAGGCTGCAGAGTGCTTAGCCCTCAATAGGACACCTGTATCAAACCTCAACCTGCCAAGGCTCAGGGATCACTGTGCAAGAGGGGATAAAAAGATTGTACGAGCCAGGGGAGGTAGATGACCACAAGAAAACAGTTTTCCAAACAGCTGGGCAGTTGCTAATATAAACTTACAGCAATTATAACAGTATGCAAAAGATCCATGTAAGCTCTCAAGCCAGACAAAATCCCAGCATAGAGGTGTGGAAGTGGGAAAGAAGCCCCAGTCGTAGCTGAGGAACTACTAGCAACTGATAGCTGCTGGAAGAAGATGTGACACTGGGTAGGTTAACTAGGTTCCAGTGAACTGACCCACACTTAAGACCATTTGTGGACACAAACTAGACTCAATATGCCTTTTTAAAAAAAAAGATACATACACAAACACACACATACCACCACACACATATAAATAATAGAGTACATGAAATTGGGCATGAAGACAGGGGAGGGAGGTCTGAATATGATCAAAACACATTATATGAAATTCTCAAAAATTCACTAAAAATAATTTTTAAAAAGAAAATGTTGGTATCCCTCTCCCCATGCCCTTTCTTCTACTGAGGTCCAAGCATCTGTGTCCAGATGTACTCAGAAGTTTCTAATTAAGTGCTCTATGTGCCACCTCTGCTCTATGTAAATGGCAGTAACAGACACATAAAGGCTAAAGACACAAAGCTCAGATTCCTGGATAAAATGACCATTTCCACAAACCCAAAAGAGGAGAGTGGGGAGGACTCACAAAGCAGAGGGCAAGGCTTAGACCGTAAGTGTGGCAGGAGGCCAGGAAAGAGTACAGGTTGTTAGAACACAAGCCTTAAGACATGCCTGTAACTATACTGCCGTCTATTCTTCGTATGTGACAGAGCAGAACCAGGCATTACAGACAAATCCCAGCTTGGATCATAGATGATATAAAGCTGTACCCCAGGAGAAGGCAAGAAAACAGAGCCACATATAGCTTGGGTCTGGTCTGCTGAGTCCTTACAGTGCCAAGTACCAAAAACCTGAAACTACCATAGAGGAATGAGTCACCCTGGGCTGAGGCCAGTGAGGCAGGTACAACCTACCTCTCAAAAGGGTACAAGCAGGTGGTTAGAATCCACAACCTTCACCTCCAAACATTAGTTGTGAGCCACAATTCCAAAGGTGATGGATTCAACCATATACAAAATGAGAGCACATCATCTTCCTTTCCTATTCCCAGACTTCTACATCTGTGAAGACAGATGTCAGGCGACACTTTCACGTGACTACAGGCCTCCAGGTTGTTAACTACCACTGTTCCTGCAAGGTGCCTTTGGCACACTACCTAAATCCTACTGGACAGTCATTAAAGCAGTAGGCCACTAATGTCAGGTTGTTTTTATTTATTTATTATTTATTTATTGTTTATTTTGGGTATGGGCATGCCACAACATATATATGGAGACCAGAGGGCAACTTGCAGGAGTCAGTTCTCTCCATCATGTGGGACATAGGGTTTGAACTCAAATCATCAAGCATAGCAGCTTTGCCAGCTTTATTTATTTATTTATATGTGTGTAGATCAAAGGATAACTTGGAGTCAGTTCTCTCCTTAGGCCATGTGGGTCCCAGAAATCAAACTCAGGTTGTCAGACTTGCAGGAAGCATGTTTACCCACTGAGCCATCTCACCAGGCCCCTATGCTAGTTTTTTAACTGCCACTGGATATACTAATCACTTCTAAGAAAAGCCAAAATACATTTTGGGTGGCTCTAGGCATTCAAACTTTGTTCTTCATTGGGGTATGGGAAACCTACTTGGGCCACCCAAGACATGTCTGTAAATCTCCAGCAAATTACGCTCTGTGCAATCCTGCACCGGTCTGCCTCTTCCCAGCACCTCCTACTTCTGGTAAAGCAGCTGCAGTCCTTTCCATCTCCCTTAAGTTCCTGCAGATATATTTCTTCTAACTTGATGCCTACCATATCTATAATGCTAGGTCCCTAAGACTGAGCTTGTTCTAGTATATTACTGAATTCCCACTCCATCCCCATGCCCTGCTCTGTTGATTCACTTTCTACTATCCAAGAGCTGTTGGATTTCAGGACTACCTGGTTTACATGCTCTTCCAAGTCTTTAGCACCACAAAGCACACCCAGTGAGAAACTAAAGACTTGCCTTCATGAGTGCAGTCTCACCATTGCTCTGCTGGACATTTACAAAAGCTCCAGCTTCCAAAAGAATAGCCACTGTGGTTAAAAAGTTCTATTAAAAAAAAAGAAACACATTTAATTCCAAGAATTATTTAAAAGACAGACATAGTTTAGATTTTGAATTTTAAGTCATAAGGAAAAAGACTCAGCAGATTCTATTCCATGCGGGTGGCTGGCCACCATCTCGTTTCTTCCCTGTGGGGCCATGGGAGCCCAGACAGAGCCTGGTCCACTTGCTGATCTGCCAGCAAGTGGCACTGAAGTCTAATCTCTGGTTTCCATGTAAGAAATTCTACATGTAATTTCTCTAAAAAGACAACACATGGGGTCATTTAAATTAAATCATTAACCAAAAGACATACTTAGTTTCAGTTGGAAAAAAGTTTTAAATCATTTAAAGACTAAAATCAGTACTGACAGTATAATTAGGTCACATTCATTATAAATTACTTCCAGTATTTTATTTTTATTTTATGTGTATGAGTGTTTTGCTTGTATGTGTTAAGTGCACCCAAGTCATGCAATGCTCATGGAGGCCAGAAGAGGGCACTGGATTCCCTGGAACTTAAGTTAGCCATCATGTGGGTGCTGGGAAAGGAACCTGGGTCCTCTGCACTAACAGCCAGTGCTTTTAACCACTGAGCCATCTCTCTAACCCCATAAATTACCTCTAATATGTAAGCCCCCTTTGAATTTCATTACAGAGTACTACTGATGACAAGTCATTCAGAACACGTCCAGACCAACTGAAACCAGAAAGTTAAGACTGTGTGGCTTTACGGTCACATATTTCACTAGGTAAAAAAAATAAACAGATTCTGCGTCCTCTCGTGAAGTAAAGTCTCCAACCTTCTCGGCAGCATGAATGAGGGCTGTGGTCCCGTTCTTCTGGCGCCCATTCACTTTGGCACCTTTGGTGATGAGGAGTCTCAGGAGGTCATCTTGCCCTCCTGCAGCAGCCAGCATCACCAGGGTCATTCCACTAGAATCCTGTATCAGTTTGTTAATGAAAAACCCTGTTAATCTTTAATCAGAAAAATTTTAGAATCAAGCCTCTTTGGCCAAGATGTTTTAATATGAAATCATTAAAGTACACTAACTTAGGTAAGAATCCACTTAATGACTTTTCTCTAAATTATCCTAAGAATCAGAAACCAGTAACTTTCAGAAATTTCATATATATCTTCATGAGGGTATGTGAACAGGCATCTGGGTGTGCAGGCCAGACTGGTGTCATGTGTCTTCCTCAACTGTTTTTCACCTTATTATTTTTAATTATGTGTATGTATGTGTTATGTGTTGTGTCTGTGTTGGGGTACACATATGTCAGTGCAGGAGCCCTAGAAGGCTTGAAGACATAAGATTCCCTGGAGCTAAAGTTACAAGTGGTTATGAGCCATCCAATGTGTGTCTGGGAACTAAACTCAGGTCCTCTGCAAGAGAAGTATGTGCTCTTAACCACTAAGCCATCTCTCCAGTCCCTCCCTCTACCTTGTTTGAGACAGGGTCTCTAAGTGAATACTCACCAATTCAGCTAGACTACCTGACCAGCAAGCCCCAAGCATATTTCTGTCTTTGTCCCCAGAACTGGAATTACAGGTGCACACTGTTGTATCCAGCTTTTTTTTTTTTTTTGTCTTTTTGAAGTAGGGTCTCCCTGTAGGCCCAGCTGTCCTGGAACTCACTGTGTAGACCAGGCTGGCCTTGAACTCACAGAGATCCGCCTGCCTCTGCCTCCCAAGTGTTGGGACTACAGGTGTGCCCCACCACACCCAACTTGTACCCAGCTTTTTATGTGGGTGCTGGGAATATGAATTCAGGTCCCTCATGTTTGTGTGGCAAGCACTTTACTCACTGAGCCATCTCCCCAATACTAGAATTTTTAAAAGTTGTGTACATGATATGTGTGGACACATGCAGTGTGCAAGGTGTGAGTCCTTGCCTTGTACCCTGTTACAAGGGCTCTTGTTCACCACTGCATACATTGGGCTAGCTAGCCCTGGAGCCTCCAGGAATTTTCTTGTCTCTCTCTCCTTTGGTAGTAGGAGCACCGGGATTACAGATGCACAATACTGATTCTGGCTTTTTATGGATTTTGGGATTCAAACTCAAGCCCTCATACTTGCACAACAAGCCCTTTACCAATTAAGCCATCTCCCTAGCCCCTGGAAATAAAAAAAAAAAAAAAAAAAAAAAAAAAGAATGTTGCTTTTAAATTTTACAAATGTCCTGATATTAGTAAACAGGTCATGCTGGTAAATCTCAGCACTTGGGAGGCTGAGGCAGAAGGACTGCTGCAAGTTTGAAGTCTGCCTAGATTATATAAATATTGAGTTCTAGGCCACCCAGGAACACACATACAATATTTAAAAAAAATAATAATAAAGATATTTATTCCCCATAATAAATTCTAAAAACATCAAGTTTGCTTCATATAAAATGAATAGCAAATTTGAGGCCAGTGATCAGTACTCTTATCTATAAAATTTGAAATCCAAAGTACTAATTTTACAAAGACCAGAATGCTGCCTCATGCCTTTAATCCCAGCAATCAGGAGGCAGAGGCAAGTGAGCCTTTCTTTAAAAAAGGGAAGAAAAAAGAAAATTGACTAAATGAGTATGATGGCTCCAGCCTACAATCCCAACACTCAAGAGGTGAAGGTCAGGATTTGAAGGTCATTCTTAGTTTCACAGCCTATCTACATGGACCCAATTTAAGAATATAATCTCGGGGGTGGAGAGATGGCTCAGCAGTTAAGAGCACTGACTGCGCTTGCAGAGGACCCGGGTTCGATTCCCAGCACCCACATGGTGGCTACAAACCGTCCTTAACTCCAGTTCCACGGGAATCCAAAGCCCTCTTCTGACCTCCGCAGCACTACACAACACAGGTGCACTCACATGCATGCAGGCAATACACTTACACATAAAATAAAAATAATAAATAAAATATTTTAAGAAAAGAATATAATCTCGTCTAAGGAAGATAAGACATTTAAAAGTCATTAACAAAAGACTTAACAAAAGACACGTGTATCTAAAAGTAAAAATTATTAGTCAGGCATGATGACACGTGACTTTATCTCAGCACTAGAGAAGTTGAGAACAGAGGATTGCCCAAGTTCAAGGCCCACACAGGCTATATAATGAGATCTTTTGGGAAAAAAAAAAAGCTTGGGGCTGGAGAGATGGCTCAGTGGTTAAGAACACTGGTTGTTCTTGCAGAAGATCCAGGTTCAATTCCAGCACCCACATGGCGGCTAACAGCTGCCCGTACCTCCAGTCCCAGAGGATCCAACAACTTCTTCTGATCTCCTCGGGCACTGCACAACAGGGGTGCACTTACCTACATGCAGGCAATATATGCATACACATAAAATTTTTAAAAAATAAATTTTTTTTTTAAAGTTTAAAAAAAAAAAACTGGGTGCGGTGGGACATACTTTTAATGCCAGCATTTAGGAGGCAGAGGCAGGTGAATCTTGGTGAGACTGAGATCAACCTGGTCTCCAAAGCAGCAAGCTCTAGGCCAGCTGGGGCCACAGAGAGATCCTGTCTCAAAAAGACCAAAAAAAAAAAAAAAATCTTCAAGCAATTCAATCCTCAAAACTTAGGGAAAAAAACTTTAATATGCTCCCATGTAAAAAACTCAAACACACTAGTATCAAAAATCCTAGCAACAATGCAAAGAAAGGGCAACTGCTGGACATGGGTCACCAAAGACCTACAACAGTCACGGGAAAACATCTCTTCTACATCCCTTGCCCACTGCAGTACAGGCCCAGAAAGACTCACATCACTGCCAAGCCAGTCATTTTGAAAGGCTAGAATTTCAGGGGTACACTCTAATAGTTCATTTATACAGTCTACAGTGTTTGAAATTAACAATGTAACTGAGTATAAAATATAAAATGTGAGTATAAAAGCAATACTTTTATAGTGAAGAAAATAACTGAATTATCACATTACACCATATGAGCTACTTTCTATACTTCCTTCTATGATTTCTCAGGAACACATTACCACCTCTTGGTCCAAGTTGTATTCTTCATTTGAGTTGAGTGCAACCTTTACAGCAATATAATCTCCATTTTTCACAGCATCCCTCAACAAATCTAATGAAAAGAAAAGTGATTTAGATTTTATAAATCTAGATTTGTAACAGAGAACTGAATAATTAAAAACCTACTCACTACTTGGAATTGTATTTGTTGTGGTAAAACTCTCATCTTCCCCATCGAGGTGCTTTTGAAAATCTTCTAATTTCATCCACTCCAACTGCAGGTCCATACCCAAACTCAGTATCTGTTGCCTGCCATCTGAAGTACACAAAAGCATCATTAACATATAGCTAACCCCCAGTCTGATAACTAAACTAATAGTGCTTTAACTAAAATTTTATGTATTTTTTTTAATATGTGATTTTTAAATTAGCTTAAAAACCAGTGAGGTTTAAGACTTCATACATCCTTAGTTTTGGTTAACTCACCCTTTTTCCCTCCTTTCCCCAACCTGCAGGTGTCCATCCTCACTTAAACATTTAGCTCACAGCATTCTTTCTGCTCTCTCCTATCACATGCTCTACTATCCCGTCTTACTGTCTTTTGTTTCACTTGGATTGTAACTTAAGGTTCCCAAGGATCTTCTTCCTGCACACATTTTGATTAAGCCGTCCCCTGACCCTCATTACCCCCTCATCACTCCACTACCGGCTTGAACTGTTCTGTCCCCAGGACTCCTCTCCTTTCATTTCAGCTACATTCTACTGTCCTCCATTCCCTAAATCTATCTCCAGGATGGCAGTGGATGATTTCTACATGCCAGCTTCTGTATATACTCCATAATAAACACAGGATTTTAAGCTAGGACCAGCCTGACAGAATGTGCCATGTTCGTCTGGGGGGCCCTGGGTGACCTCACACAGTGTAATTTCTTTTCCAGTTCATTTACCTGCAAATTTCATGATTTCTTTTTTCTTTACAGCTCAATTAATACTCCATTGTGTTTATGTACCACATTTTCATTATCCATTGTCAGTTGATGGACATCTAGGTTGATTCCATTTCCTAACCATTGTGAATTGAGCATCAATAAACATGGATGTGCAAGTATTTCTGTAGTAAGATATAAAGTCCTTTGGGTATATGCCCAGGAGTGGTACAGCTGAGTCAGATGGTAAATCTATTACTAGTTTTTTGAGAAACCTCCAGACTGACATGCATACTTTTTAATTTAAGTGATTATATAACTGACTCTTTTCATTGCTAAAATTTCAAATTTTCTTATATAAATCATAAATGTTAAGGTGTTCCAAAAGCAATTATAGGTAATGTATAATTGTAGGGGGTTTTTGTTTTTTTTTTTTGGTTTTTTTTTTGGTCTTTTTGAGACAGGGTCTCCCTATAGCTCCAGAGATCCACCTGCCTGTCTCCCAAGTGCTGAGATTTACAATACCACCATGCCTAGCAGTAATCTATAATTATAAAAATATTAATGTTGCTTGTTTTTTTGAGACACAGCCTTCTATAGCCTACAGTGGACTTAAACTTCCTATGTAGCCAAGTATAACCTTGAACTTCTGATCTTCCTACTTCACCCTAAGTAGCAGAATTATAGGTTACATGGTACTAGGGATCTAATCCAGGGCTCTGTGCATGGTAGGCAATCTAAGCTATATTCCCATAATGAGTCTTTCTGTCTTTGGTCATTCTTCTTACCATTTACATTAAGTCATTTTGAATGTGTAAACTAGTCTATGTGAAAATACAAATTATTGCTTATGATGCTTCCCCTCCTGTCAGAAGACAAATGTTCCTACAGTGCATGTAGGCATGGTATACAAAGATTTTAGTGGCTTTTTTTTTTTTTTTTTCCAGTGCGGCAGAAACCTAGGGCCTCATAGTTAGGTAGGCTGACAAGTGATTTTCAAGAAATGTTTTATAATTTTCTATTTTTTGAGGGGACAGGGTTCTCTTTGTATCCCCCAGGTGGCCTAGAAGTCACAATGAAGAGCAGGCTGGCCTCAATCTCAGAGATCTGAGATCTGCCTCCCTCTACCTCATAGGTGTGGGGATTAAAGGCATGTACCATTAGGCCCAGTCTATGCTATCTTTTACAAACAATATTCTTAGCAATCTTTTAAACACTGTATGTTGCTTTTATCTATCTTGCCCTCTAGGCAGCCATCATATTCTCCATGCTTACTGGTTCTGGAAATTATATGAGTTTTCTGTCTGTAATGCATCCCAAAGCATGTTGTTTCTTATGTATCTAAGATTTAGTTGTTTTGTAGTAATAGGGCCTTTCAGAGCACCTGGTGTGTTATATATTTCGAGTTATTTTTTAAAATTCTCAATCTAGGGGTTAAAGAGATGGTAAAGAGCACTGGCTGCTCTTGCAGAGGACCCAGGTTTGGTTCCCAGCATCCACACGGCAGCTAACAACCATCCATAACTCCAGGTCCAGGGGATTCAATGCCCTCTTCTGGCCTCTGTGGACACCTGCATGCACAGGGTGTCACACACATACACACATACACACACACATACACACACACACACACAGGCACACACATAAAATAACAAATCTTAAATTCTTAATCTATTTGTCAAGATTCACAAATTCATCAGCTCAATCTATCTCATTTATACTTATCATGTATTTATGTGTTCTTTTTTTGGTCTTTTGGAGACAAGGTCTCCCTGTAGACCCAGCTGGCCTGGAACTCCCTATGTAGACCAGGCTGGCCTTGAACTCACAGAGATCTGCCTGCCTCTCCCTCTCAAGTACTGGGACTAAAGGCATGCACCACCATATTTGACGCTTTTAGATGTCAAAGAATAACCCAAGTCTTCAATATTAAAAATTATTCGCGTGACCCAAATAAAATCTTTTGTTATTTTCTGAGAGAAGAGTAAATGATATGGTAAACTCTGTACTCTGAAATCATTCTCTTGAACAATGCCAAGTAAACTCACCTGAATTCTCATCCATTTGGCATACACTGTCTGAAACCTCCTGGTCCCCTTCTGCAGCAATGTATGCCCAGGTATCAGTTTCATCTCTAGTATTTCTCCTTTCATTAAGTGAATACTTGTTGTCCTTGGTTTTGTGGTCATCTGTAGTCTTATAATCCAGTGGTATCTCATCTCTTTTCCAATTATTCTCAAGAACATCATTTTTTTCTTCCGTTGTTTTTTTAAATAAATCAAATGCATTTCTGATTTCCTTAAATGCTAGTTCAAAATAAAAACTGTTGGTTAAATTAAGTGGCAAATTTATGTTACAATCAAAAGAAAAACCTGTATTAACATTGAACAAACTAATGTTTCTTACATTTTTACTAATACCTGCCTTGATTATGAAACATAGTAATATTTGCTATCAAAGTCATTTAACTAATATTTGTATTCACTCTTCACTATCTAGAAAGCTATGACAAAGGACTACTCAAGTCTGCTTTGGTAACTTTTCCTTCATCACTGCATTTGGGGATTGGGCAGACATTGTGTTTGAATTGATTCCAGGTCCTTGGGCTTGCTGAACACACTTTACTAGGCCAATTCTTTCTATCTTATGCATCAATTTCAAGTATACTTTTGCTTTAAATGGAACTATTTTTTGTTTCATTTATAATTAGTCACTGGGAGTCTAGTTTACAGAATCTCTGTTAATAAAACTTATGTAGGGGGAACTATTTTTTGTTTCATTTATAATTAGTCACTGGGAGTCTAGTTTACAGAATCTCTGTTAATAAAACTTATGTAGGGGGTGGAGAGGTGGCTCAGCAGTTAAGAGCACTGACTGCTCTTGCAGAGGACCCGGGTTCAATTCCCAGTACCCACATGGCAGCTACAAACCATCCTTAACTCCAGTTCCAGGGGAATCCGAAGTTCTCTTCTGACCTCTGCAACACTGCATGACATGGGTGTACTCACATATATGCAGGCAATATACTCATACACATAATAAAATAATAAAAATGAAATACTGAAAAAACAATAAAACTTATGTAACCAGTATTTTTAAGAGTTCTTCCAAATTGTCTAGTGCTTTACGTATGTTGCCTATCCCTGTCCCCCTGCCTTTTTGGTGCTCAAGATTGAACCCAGGACCTTGTATATGCTAAACACACACTCCCTGATGAGCTACACACCCAGCTTTTCTTCCACTTCTTTTTTAGCTCAAAGCTGGTGGAATTAAGTAGCTTTATTGGGTGGTTAGGGCTCTAGCACCATGTTCATTTTCCCTCAACACCAGAAACAATTTCTACATAAACTCTAGGACACATTTGTGCACAGGCTAATCCTCTGGCAGGAGGAAAGATGGTGGTGTGACTAGGATCACTGAGGATCCCACCTTGAACAGTGCTTGTCACAACTGCAGAAGAGTGGTTCAGCAGCCGTTTTCCCTGGATGTCCTGTCCAGAAATTAATGTTAGAGTATTCTGCATCTTCAATCAATGTCTGAAATAAAGTAGATGCTTCTATTATTCAGAACAGACTGTCCTTAAACTAGAGTCATGTTATGTATGACTCAGAGACAGACACAGTTCCTTTTAAACTACTACTGCCATGCCTGAGTCTAGGCTTAAGATAAAATCTACATTTACCACTGGAAATGTACCTACACACTTCATGTTTAGCATGGCTAAGCCCTGGGTTTCATTCCCAACATGGCAAGAAAAAAAAGTATTAAAAATGTGAGGCAAGAGCTGGAGAGAAAGGTCAGCAGTTAAGAGCACTGACTGCTCTTGCAGAGGACCTGGGTTCGATTCCCAGCACCCACACAGTGGCTAACAACTGCCCTAACTCCAGTTCCAGGGGATCTAACATCCTCTTCTGACATCCTCAGGCACTGCACGACACAGGTGCACTTACATATATGCAGGCAATATACTCATACACATAAAAATAAAAAGAAATATTTTTTTTAAATGTGAGACCATTAAAAATGGCTCAGCAAGTCAAAAGTGCTTGCTGTGTACACCTGATGATATGAGTTCAATCCCCAGAACTCATGGTGGAAGAAGAGAACCAACTCCTAAAAGTGGTCCTCTGACCTCTGCATGTATCAACAGTGCTCAAGCACCTGCATTTAACATTACTTTAGATACATACAGCAGGAAAATATTCCAACTCAGAATTACCTCTTTCCAAGAGAACATGTGCTCCAAGTACTTGTGATACATACTTATCTGATGAGACTTGTTTAAATACTATACTGGTGAGTTTTTAAAGTACTCTATTCCAATAGCAACATGTTATGGATTCTTAATTATTGAATAGTGATCACCCATAAGTGTTCCAAAAGGTGAATTCAATATTATACCTATACGAGCATATGGCACATACCTGTACTATCAGCACTTCAGAGGTAGAGGAAAGGAAACTACCAAAAGTTAAATGCCAGCCTGGGGTACCATATATCAAGTACCAAGCCAGCCAATCAACCAAGAAAAAGGTGAAAAGAAGAAAACAAAATGCGTACATATGTACACACAATCACGTGGTTATTTTATAGGTTGAGTACCCTAACCAAAAATCTGAAATCTGAGCCAGGTATCATGGTAAATGCCTGTAATCTTAGCCCTTGGGAAGTGAGAGCAGCAGGATCAGGATCAGGATTCCAAGGCCAGTCTCAGTTACACGGTTAAGTTCAAGGTCAGCTTGGGCTACAATAAGACCCCTACCTCATATGAAAAAGATAAATAAATGGGGCTGGAGAGATGGCTCAATGGTTAAGAACATGGGTTGTTCTCGCAGAAGACCCAGGTTCAAATCCCAGCACCTAAATGGTAGCTAACAGCTGTCCATAACTCCAGTCCCAGGGGATCTGATGGCCTCTTCTGACCTCTGTGGGCACCGCACGACACAGGTGCACTGACTTACATGCAGGCAACATATGCATACACATAAAATAAAATTTAAATAACTAAATAAAACACAAACTGAAATCTGAAGGACTGACAAAAAGGCCTAACAGGTAAGAGTGCTTGCTGTGCAAACATGAGGATCTGAGTTCAAATGCCTGCAACATAAAACCAGGCATGGTTATCTGTGCCTGTAACTCTGGCACTATGAGGGGTGGAGACAGGAGGACTGCAAAGGCTTGCTGGCTACCAGCTTACCTCCATGTCCTCTTCTGGTTTCAATTTGGCATGGTGTACCAATTCACATACATATGCATAAAGTACACATGCGGGCGCACGCACACACAGAAATCTGAAATACTCCAAAATCTGAAATTTTTTGAGCACCAATATGAAATCACAACTAGAAAATTTCACTTAACTTCATATGAGAGGATACACAAAAAACCCACAAGCACACTAAAAACAAACATGCAAAACACTCATACATACAACAAAAACCCTCACCAAAACTGGCATAAAATTACCTTTAGGCTGTGTTTAATGTACATATAAAACATAAATTATGGATTTAAACCTGGGTCCACTCTCAAGAAATCTCATTATGTACACTCAAATATTAGACTCAGAAATATTTTTGGTGCCAAACACTTCAGAGAAGGAATGCTTAACCCTTAAAATGAACTGAGTAATAAAAGTAGTGTAAATGTCTAGAGATGGTTCAGTAGTTAAGAGCAGTGGGTGCTCTTGCAGAGGACCCACGTTGGTTTCCAGCACCCAGGTGGTGGCTAACAACCATCTGTTAACTCCAGTTCCAGGGGATCTGATGCCCCTTCTGGCCTCTGAGAGCATTGTATGAATGTGGTGCACTGACATACATGTAGTCAAAACACTCATACAACATAAAATAAAAATAAATACCATCTTTTTAAAGTAGTGTCAAGCTCTACATTCCCTGGAGAGCACCATTTTCCAATTCTGTAACATTACAGGATAGAAAAGAGATTCTCTTTGGGTAAATGAAGTCCTTTATATAAAAAGATAGGCAATGAGCATGGTAAAGCATGAATATTTATACTTACATTTTAATCCCTTTGGCTCTTTTCGAGTTTTTTCTTCCTTATCCAAATCATATCTTTTCTGAGATTTTTCTTTGGGTTCATTTTTTTTGGTCTCTTTCTCCTAAAGAACAATGAATGCAGATCCCAAAACAAGAATGGTAAAGAAATGATATTGTACATTTGAGAACTGAAATATATGATTAGGGCATCAATGCCTGTCTGTACTCCAGCATATTGCTCTGATCACTCAACCTTTCACACTGTTCCCTCAATCAAGATGATTAACCATATGATAAGCCTACACAAAAATGAAGCTCGCTGGGTGTGGTGGTGCACACCTATAGTCCCAGCACTCGGGAGGCAGAGGCAGGCGGATCTCTGTGAGTTCAAGGCCAGCCTGGTCTACATAGTGAGTTCCAGTCTAGCTGGGGCTACAGGGAAACCCTGTCTCAAAAAGACCAAAAAATAAAAAATAAAATAAATAAAATTTCTGAATATAATGAAAGTTCACTATATAGATGAACATGTCATAAGGAAATCCATTCTTCTGTACAATATATGCTAATAAAAACTGCTGCAAAAATAAATTTTAAAAGACTTCATTTTGTCTCAAATCAAGCATAATTTTTTTTTTGGTCTTTTTGAGACAGGGTCTCCCTGTAGCCCCAGCTAGCCTAGAACTCACTATGTAGACCACACAGGCCTTGAACTCACAGAGATCTGCCTGCCTCTGCCTCCCAAGTGCTGGGACTAAAGCCGTGCACCACCATGCCTGACCAAGCATAACTATTTTATTTGTCTACACTACTCTTCATCCATGTAACTTTGCAGCTAATTTGTTTTTATTCACATTGTTAGGTATGGTTTTCTTCCCCATTACATTTTCTCAAGTGTTCTTGTTTCTGCTACACCGACCTCATATTCCAAGTTCCCAAGTTGATGCACCAGTATTTTCCTAACTATTTTCCCCTCAGCTAGACAAGCTATCAGTTTTTCACTACTAAGGATATTACTGCCAAAAATACCTGTTTTG